GGGCACCAACCTCCACCTAGGATGACATGACATTGTCCCTGCCTCTGGATTCTAAAACTTAGACCCCCAGAGCTAGTGAATGAATGAAAGAACAGCTACAGAGCACCACCCGTGAGCAGTGCCATAGCATGAATCTTTGCCCAACAGTGAACTGGCCATCTGTTGCTTAGCAACCCGGGCCTGGGGCATCTTTAACTGTCATCTCAGCCTAAGTTCTCATGCCATCAAAATGGTAAGTCACAATACCCCACCTTACAGGCTACTTGGAGCATTCAATGAGAGAGTATCATTTCCACAATACCAGCAATTTGAAATACTGACTACAAAGAACCCAGAGCTGCACAAAATCCAAAGCAAAGATGTAGACTCCGTTCATTCCCTCAGCTGTGTCTTCTGTGTTTTCCCAGAGAAAAACAGAAATTTCCAAATAAAGTAACAGTCAACCTCAGAGCTGAGTGGTCTGCTAGAAGGACCCATGCAACCTTCCAATCCACTCTCAGCCAAGGATGAGACTCTCTCCCCTTAATTAATAGGGAAATTTGAGGCTCAACAAATAGAAAAATTTGCTTGAGGCCAGAGATAATCCAAAGGAGAAAGCAGGACCCCGGCCCCACTCTCCCACTCCCTTAGCAAGGGGGTGGTGACATGCTGAGTACCTATAGCCTCACATGGTAAACAGCTTGGTGACTAGAAGCCAGGTCAGACTGCTCAGCACTGGAACTTGGTTCCACCACTTGGTGGCTATGTGACTTTGGACATGTGTGGAACCTCCCTCATCTCAGTTCCTTTGGGAGGATATAGGGACAGCAGTAGCCATTGCCTCCTTGGGTGCCTATGAAGAATAAAGGAAGCAACCCCATCTAGAGTACTCAAACGATGCAAGATCAAAGGAAGTACTTCATAAACACTGGCCACCACTTTCATCATTAATTAGTACTACTCTCCATTCCAGTGTTTCCATAAGGGCTAAAGCCAATACTAGTGTTCTCCCAGCTGCTTCCCTGGGGAGGCTGATACCGCATGATCACAGGACAGGGTTCCTCACTCAGGACCTCTAGAAACTATTCTGCTTCACAGCAAGTGGAGAAGCAGCCTCCTTCTTCTGGAACAAGACCCCCAGTGGGGAATCGGGACCCCTGCCTGCCTTCCCTTTTAAGATCCACCTCCTTCCACTTAGTGGCAGAGCCTGCTCCTGTCTCCTTGCTGGCTCCACCTTCCTGTCCTAACTAGAATATCTGCAGCCTGGGAAGCAAGGGCAGGAGAGAGACCTAGAGTAAGTCAGGACAGTGAGAAGGGATCAGGTGGGTGGTAGGGGAGGGAACAGTAAGGACTAGCTTTTAAAGAGACAGTGTAGGAAGGGCTCTGTGTGGACCAAGCACTACTCACTGGAGCCCACCCCCCCCCCGGGGCAATTACCCTAATCATGTGCATCTCCCAAACAGCCCTTTGATTTATTAGCACAACGTCTTTTTTAAATGCCGCTTTTAAATATAAATAACACTCAATCATCCAGCTGTCGTTAAATTCGTGTTATATTGATTTCGCGGAGTGCCGCAAATTTGAGGGTGAATGGGCTGGTGGATACAAGCACAAAGCTGGGAGGTGGATTCACAAGTACTGGGAGAGAGGGACAGGCCTTTGAAGGAGGAGAAAAGGGGGTGTCAAGGGAAAGAAACGAACCCCCCCTACACACACACACACACACACACACACACACACACACACACACACACACACAACAACGGCCCAGGGCCTGGACCCGTTTCCCGCCAGGGAGCACTGGGCACAAATAAGAGATGAGGTAAGAGGGACACATCCGTTTGCAGAGTAATCAAAGCCAAAATCACATCCCGCAGGCAGGCAGGTTCAAGGTATCGCCGCCGCCCTATCACAGCCAGTGGGAGAGTCACTCCAACAGGTCTCCAGTGTGCATTGTCTGTGCAGTACCTTCTCTGCTGAGACTGGGCGAGAGCCGCTAAGAAATGCCCCCTAGCTGGCTGGGAGGAGAGACGCTTGCTATAATTTCTTCCCATCAAAGCCTGGCAATACCTAGGAGCTCAGAGCAGTTACTAACCCATCCCCCTGAGCTCTCTCCCCAAGGAAGGAATGTTACCACCCTAGAAAGCCCCCCACTTAATTCCCAGCAGCCCTCCTTGGGATTAAAAGGACCAGTAGGCCAAGTGTAGGCAGATTTTGCCATGCAGATTTCCCTGTCTGCAGGGAGCAGAGCTGAAGCAGGAGAACAGAGACAAGGAAGGAGACCGGAGCAAATTGGCTGCCTAGGAGAAAAATTCCTCCCTGAAACATTTTCAGGGCCCGTGTGTGTGTGTGTGTGTGTGTGTGTGTGTGTGTGTGTGTGTGTGTGTGTAGGATTTAGTGAGAGCAGAGCAGATCATGGATGAACCATGCCTGCTCTTCACAGGAATGCTTCCAGAACAACTTCCAGCCTCAATAAGGCTGACCAAAGAGAAACATTTGTGTTCGGGCCTTTCCTAGTGCATGCAACTGGGTGCCTTATAGTGTAGACCAGAAAACTTAAAAGCCCACAGAAGAATAGTAGAGCAAGGATATTGTGGTATACTCCAGGGTTGGGCAAAAAGAACCAGGAAATGAAACACACACACACACACACACACACACACACACACACACACACACACACACTGTTAATTACTGTCTATCTTTTCCTAGAAACCAATGATAAGTGCAGAAAGTGTGGGGGTTCTTTTGAGCTCCAGTGTTAGCTTATAACTAGCATAATGACAGTCGACTTTGCATTAAAATGACAGATCCTGAGGCTGTGGGAAGAGGGGGACAGAGAAAGAAGCAGGAGTCTGTTGTGGCAGGGGGGATCTGCACCCCAGCCTCCTCCCCTCACAGGTCCAGTGAGGGAATGCTTCTCTGGGAGATACTCATTGTCACTATAGTTCACTGCTTGTTACAGATCATGTGCCACAGCCATATGCATGAGTATGTGGGTCCTCCCCATCCACACACTCCAAGTGTGTGCAGGCTATAATGTACCAATGTTTTTCCACAGCCCAGAAATCAGAAGTGGACACCCCTGTCACCCATGCTTGGACAAGCTGACTGCATTTGGCAAGGCTCTAAGAACGTGTGTGTACAGCTGGATGTGTGCACACCCACCATTCTTAAAAAGAAATGTTTCTCCCTGATCTGGGTCCTCATTGTGAGAAGCTTTCCTTTATCCCAGCTATCTTTTTCAATCAATCAAAGGGCCGCTTACACCACACACAGCAGGGATACAGATTCCCTCCTGGGGCGTCTGCTTCCCCCCACCCACCCACCAAGCCTAGCCAGGGAGACCTTGGCAGGGTCAGAAAAAAGTTTGAAAAACAGGAGGGCTGGGAGTGCAAAGAAAAAGCCTATGTGGCTGCACCCCATCTTCGGGATTTATAAGGCACCAGAAGTCCTCTACCTGCACTTAAGGCCCCCTTGTTCCGGAGTGTTTGCTCCTTGTCTCTCACCTTCTGGAAGATTTCCAATGTATTTCTCTCTTTGGTAGGTTTGTAGGACACTCTGAACACATGGTCTTATAAAGAGGGAAGCAGCATATCCCGTTTTTATCAGAATGCCCCCAAAACGCCACAAAGGGACAGCTATAGAAACATAGAAACTTTCCATATGTGTATTCAAGCCTGAAATAATGATTTATTTGAACCTTCTATTCTTCTCCCTGCAATAATTGAGGCCCCCAAAGAAGTCTCTCTTGGAGTCTAATAGGGGAGCCATGAAAAAGCACTCTGGGACTCCATTCACCCCTCCCCACCTCACCCCCATCTATTCTAGGAAAAGTTTCAAAATGAGCAGGCTCTGGAACTGGGGTGGGGGTGAGGTGGGGTGAGGAGCTCTGGGAAGTACAACTTGAACCATTGGCTTCTGGAAAGCCATTCTGCATGCAGAGGATCTGGACTCTGGGGGACATTAGTAGACCTTCATAGGGTGGGTATGCCAGTGTGTTCAGTTTGTTCTCCCTGAAAAGTCTAAATCCCGCTCTATCCTTCCTTCTAGCTCGTGTTCTCAGACACATACCCCACAGCCATGTGACAGGTGTTAGCTAACGGCACAGGGGGAAATCGCCTCACATGCACAGAGAAGGATAAGGAAGTGAGGGGGTGGCCACAAAGCTGTGTCCCCAAGCCCTGTCTGCTTGCTGTCTACCACTGACTGGCAACGTGAATAAGGTTTGATCCTCCTTAAAGGACCGCAGCATCCTCCCTAGACAAGGATCCCTCCTCTAGCTTTGATGTGAAAGCCCCTCCCTGCCTGAAATCCCGGCACATTCCGGGGAAGCAGTGCCACGCTTCGGAAAGGCGTGTGTGCTGCCTTTACTAGAGAAACGCAGAGTCTGTTCCATATGCGCCGCCCTACAGAACTGCAGCCCCGGTTGCTTATGTGGCCTCCTCCCAGGCGCCCGATCACCACAATCTCCAAATCTCTGCCCTTTAAATATCTATCTGTGTTTCTCCTATTAAAAGGGGGTAAAAATCCTAGTGTCCAAAAGCCAAGGGCGCAATTGCACTGGGTGGGTCTCCTAAGACCTCCCATGACTTCTCCTGTTTTGTAAAAAACCAGTTAGGAAATGAAAGGAGCTAGAAACAGCAAAATCGCTCCCTCATCCTACCAAGCTGGATAGAAGAGTCAGTCATTTACAAAATCCCACCCTGAAAGTCCTGGGGAAGAGAAGTCTAGGTCCGGTGAAGAGAAGAACACGGGAAATCCCTGCTCCGCGCTGCGCTGCACCTACGCGGGTGTCCAGGTGGGACGTGGGCAGGTGCGTGAGCTCAGGGTATGCGTATATGCATGTGTGTGTGCGTGCGCGTGTGTTTGTGTGTGTGTGTGTGTGTGTGTGTGTGTGTGTGTGTGTGTGTGTGTGTGTGTAGCGGGATGGCTCGGAGCAGGTGAGGACTCCAGGACCGGACCCCGCACCTCCGCCCGCTCTGCCCAGCTGGCCCTGAGCCCGGCCGGTGGCTCCTTACCTGGAAGAGCGGCGTTTCCCTCCTTCAGCCCCAGCGCCGCATTGACACTGCAGATGGTGCCTGTACCGCTGCCTCTCGCCCTCCTCTGAACGTGTGCGTGTGCGCGCGTGTGGCTGCCTCCTCCAGCCCCAGCCCCGAACGCAAATACTCCACCGAGGCACCGGGAAGCCACGAGCACCAGGGGAAAACGGAGGGGGCCAAATCAGAGCCTGCTGGGCTTGACAGCTCCTCTTGCAGCGTCCAAGGTGGGCGTAATGTCCAACAAAAAGGTCAGAAAATGTGGATCGATTCCAAGCACCCCTTTCCTCCACCCAGCCCCGGAGCCCAAGCAGCGACAGTGGTGGCTCTCAGGGGCTGCGGCGGCGACGCGGGGCTGCCCCCCTTCGTCCCCACCCCCGCGGGCTGAATGTCCTTGATGCCAAGCGGGCACGGCGGCGTCACTCCGCGCCGCCCATGCTAGCCGGGTCGGGCCGCTGCCCGGGCGCGGCGGCGAGTGCGTTGGGGACCCGCCGGGGAGCGCTCTCCGAGCCTCTGCGCGCCTCCCTGGGCAGTGGCGTCCACCTCCTGGCAGCCCAGGGCCGGACACGCCGCTGTTGCCCCCACCCCTGCCCGGGGACTAGCCGGGCAGTGCCCAGGGGCCGGGGCTGGGGGCCGCGGGAGCCGCCGACTTCTCCCCGGGGAGGCGCGGATATGCGGTGATAGCAGCGACGGCGGCGGCTGGCGCTGCGGCGGCCAAGAGCGCGGCTGTGGTCCAAGCCGAGCTTCCCGGGCGCGCCCCCGGCCCCCCGGGCGGGCGGCTCGCAAAGTTTGCAGGGGGCAGGGAGCGGGGCCGCCGCTGGCTCGGCCGCCGCCGGAGCTCCCGGGCTGCCTGCTGCCGCCGCGGCTCGCTGCTGCTGTGCATTGAAGCCCGGCCAAGCGCTGCAAAAACTCCAGCTGCCTGGCGCTCTCTGGGTCCTCCTCTCCTCCCTCCCGCCCTCCCTGCTTCCCTTCCTCCCTCCCTCTCCTCGCCTCCTCCCCCTCCCCGCCGCCCGCGGCCCGCCGCCGCCGCCGCCGCCGCTCCCTCTCTGGCTCGCTCGCTGGCTCGGAGCTCGCGGCTGACATCTAGACCGAGGTAGAGCGGCCGGCAGAGGGGGCAGGGGGCGCTTCCCCGCACGTTGCCGCCGCAGGCTCGCCGGCTCTCCCCAGCGTGGACGTTTGCAGACACCCCCTGGGTCTTTCGAGCCACCCGGGTGGTGGCGACATAGGTCAGAGTGGCGCATACTTGGATTGAGGCATACTCCCAAGCAGGCATGTGGGTTCAGGCGGTCAGACGCACTTTTGAGTATTCTTAACAGACACCAACCAAAGCATACACCCATTCCCAACCTAGAGTCCTGGTCCAGCCCTGTCCCCCACCAACCAAGGTAATCCTACAGGGCACTAAAGAATGCCCAAGCACAAGGCTTCTTTCTAGTCCTGGGAAAGAAATGAATGGCCAGTGCCCCAGAGCTTGCTGGGTAACCTGATATGTCCAGAGGCTGACCTTGCTTCTCTGTCTCTGAAGCCCTAGATCCTGGACCATATCCCAAACATATACCAGACAATGCCAGCACCGGAGTAGTTTCAGACGTCCGAAGGAAGAAATCCCAAGGTTGCTTAAGTTGAGACGGCGTCTGGCAGACAGGAAATAGGCGAGGTAGCACTATCTAGGATATCTCGGCATAGACCACTCCCCATCATTGTGCCCGACCATTAAACAACAAACAAAGCAGGATGCCCACCTATTTATCTGCCCAACTCTGTATGCCTGCTTTTACCACAGTGCCAGGGAAATACCACTGTCAGCCATGTCCACTACGAGTAGCCACTCATCAAAGAAAGTCCTCTCCAGAAGACTACAGTTTGGGGCTCCCAACCCATGCCATTTCTTCACCTTAACTTCCTGCGAAGGTCTGTCCCTCCCATCCAAACCTCTCAGAACCTGCTTATTAGGAAATGATTGACAGCAGTATAAATTCCTATACCTTCTTATCGGGGTTATATTTTCACAGGAATCAAAAGTTATAAACTGGGTAGACTTCGAAATGAGCTGTGAGATGACATGTTCTACAAGCCCCACCCCCCCCGGGGGGGGGGGCAGGTAGCACATGTGAGTCAGGCTGGGCTTACCCACACAGGACCTGGCTGAAACTGCCCTCACCAGAAGGAGGCCATGAATCAAGCATGTGCAGGAGAAAGCCAGACATTACTCTAGTTAAAGAGTGTTCCAGGAGACAGCATGGAGCCCTGTTAGCCTCTGGTTGTCCGCTGAGCATGGCATGGCCCAGAAAACAGCAAGGGTTATCTTATTAGCTCCCGTTAATACATTGATCTGGCTCCTCTCTTCTCAGAAACTCTGGATCCCCGACTCGAGATAAAGCACACAATATCAAGTTAGTTTCCGAAGCCCAGAGAAACGCATAACAATAATTTCATGTTGCTGCTGCTCTGACAGCCTTCCAGAACCGAGGAAGCCCCGGGGCCAAACGTCTGTCTAACATGAGACTGCAGAGACACCTGGCATGCAAAATCAAAGGAAGTTGTCCCCACAGGTTTGCATAAGGCTTGCCTCACCTGTACTCAAATATGCTTGCAAGAACCACCTCTGAAACTGGCATAGGGTGCCATCACAACAGGCTCACCCTAGCAGTGACAGCCTAGAGAGTCCTACAGAAAACCTTAACAGGTGACTTAAACAACATGCTTCACTAAGGAATACAAGAGACCTTTTCAAATCCAATTGTCACGTAGCTATAGGGGGACTTACGTAAAAATGCTGAAAGGGAGAGGAAGTGAGAACTGACCCCTTCTCAGCCAATCATTAATCATCCCAGAAGGTATTTTTAATACCACCTGGTTGTCTTTTCTGTTCCTTGTAGTGTGTGTGTGTGTGTGTGTGTGTGTGTGTGTGTGTGTGTGTGTCTGCAAATTCCAGGCCCATGTCCTGATGGATGGACAGGAAGTGAAAGACTTTTTCCAGAGGTAGCAAACAAAGTGTGTTTATTATCCCTTATCTCCTGCTAGTGTGCGGTGTCATTTATTTTCATTCAGAGGAATGAATATCGTGTGGTGCCTGAAGAGTAATGACAGGGAAAGCATGTACAGAGAGCTGGACCGACAAAGGGCAGGGCAGCCGCTGCCAGACCTCCGGCTCTTAATGGGACCTCCCCTCACACTGCTTTTTCCTTCCCTGGCTTCCATTGACTACCACAGGAGGAAGGCAGGTTGGAAACAGTTACCGCTTCATACCATTGTAAGGAATGGCAGAAAGGGTCAAAATAGCCCCAGCAAGAGACCTGATGGCCTATTGAATGTTCCCTGGAGTCTAGAGTGGGGTGGGGGATGGGTAAGGTAGACCGTCCTACTCCTTGACTCTGGTATTGACCATCACTATCATTTTGCACAGATCGTGTGCCCTTAGTGGCATTCCCTCCCTCACCTGCCACGTTTATGCCTTCTGGGTGCAGTGGTATTCAAACGAAACACCACCTCTGTGAGCGTGACTTGAAACTCTTCATGCAATGCACGTGGAAGGAATCCTTACTCCCTGTCGTTGCAAAGTATCCTTTTCTCCAGTGGCACAATGCAGGGGGCAGGCCCTTTGCTGCCCTGACTCTTCCCCATGAAACGACAGCCTGGAAAAGGCAGCATCATCGTGTGGCGATCCAGATCACCACAAGCCCTCTCGCTCTCCCACCAGCTCTCTCTAGCCCTACAACCCCCACCAGCTGATGAGGGGGAAAGACAGACATACTCTGGGCAGTCTAGCTGATCCCTGATGACAATGGGTCTGTGAGTCATTCACGGCATCCCTGGCCTGGTGGCAGAGCTGGGTAGGTCAGCGTCTGGCTGGCCTCATGGCCACAAGTGGGAGAAGTTAAATGGCACACTGCTTCAGAGAGTCCGATTTCCTAAAGAAGCTATTTTTGTGAGATTTTGGCTGTGGTTCTTTGCCAGATTGGGGTGGGGAAGCATACTGGCTCATCTCTCGTGACTGAATAAAAGGGCCAGGTTTGAGGGGAGAGAGAAGACTCCTAACTTCCCTTTCATTCAGTCACCACCATTTTATTAGCTTAGGAACAGAGACAAAGCCAGATTTGTTTATTAAACAAATCGCTGGAGTCCGGCGGTGCTACAGAGACATATTTCCCCAAGAGTTGTCCTGCAGCTGGGTCCTGCTCTATGCTCAGGATAAAACCCTCTGGCCCAAGGCTGCTTGAAAACCTACATTGTGGCGCCACCTGCAGGAGAGCATAATTATCGACTTTAACCCAAATCTTAGCCAAGCATGGGAAGTCCTAGCTTCCCCAAACTATCCTGGCTAGGACAGGGTTGCAGACAGAAAGAAGGGGTCTGTGCTATCAGGATGTGTCACCAGATGTCCTCCAAACACTCCAGCAGCCTTCGAAGTGACTATTCGTTGGGAACTGCTATTTCAAAAATCAACAGCAGCTTTACAGATTCTCAATCCGCTCAAACTCATTTTTCCTCACATCACTACGGGGTTAAGTAAATCTAGAACACATGGGTCTGTCTTCCAGGTGCTGAGCCATAGGACAGAGAAATGGTTTCCTTTGGGAAGGGTGGGGATGGAGCATCCATGCCACCATAGCTGTGATAGTCTTAGGATCCAAATGGTTCCTTTTTCACTATCCTATGGGTATAAATGACAATGCAAATATTGACATCTGAACCTCACTCCCCTCTACTCATCTAAGGCTTAGGCCATCACTGTCAACTCCCTCTGGAACTCCTCCATGATGTAAGAGACCCCACCCCCTAACCTGTGGTGACTGTACTTAGGAGCTGATCATGTTAATTTCCACGGGTCTCCTCATTTCATGCACTGTCCATCAGTCATTTGGTGGGAGAACATCTTGTCATTACCAGCCATGCGGTGGCCTCCCAAGGACCCGCTGCCTGGCTATACTGCTGCTAACAGCCAGCGATGCAGCTTTGCTATGGATTGTTGGACCGCACAGGAAGGATACAAAGGCAGGGAGGATGCCTCTCATCTGACAACACACAGGCACAGACACTGGGGATCTTTGGTCCTCTGATCCTAGAGTAGCTCCTATGGCCCCCAACCATGGTCCAAGTGTGTGTCCTCACCTCCAGCGTCCTTTATCCACTCCCCGCTCTGTAGAATTCTTTCTCTTTCAACCACCTGGCAGATGTAGCTTTCCAATAGTAAAAATGAAAAGTTAGAAGATGTAGTAAGAGAAGAGATGGGAGAAAGATGAGAATGGACCAAGTCTATTGGCTAGGAACAGCAGAATCCCAGATCTGGCAAGCTTCGTATCTTTCTTCAAAAAGAAAGCATACACACTTGATTGCACCCTTTGGAATCTTCCACTGAGGTCCAAGGCACTCTAGAGCAGTGATCAGATGGGGATTTACGGGAGCAAGTTGGAAGTGATTTGTCATGCAACAATGCTTGGCCGATACCGTGAGGTAATGGAGAACAAATCACTCGTCGGGCCCCTTAACCTTTTGCTCATTATTTGAGCCCATTTGGTTTTAGGATAAGAAAGAAAAGGAGAACATGTTTCACGCATGATATTCTGATATGGGACAGGACTAAGCTCCTATACACTCCCTGCCGGGATCTCCCTGCAGGAATCTGGGGTTAAGCTTCTCAACACATCTCACTGTGTTAAATGAAAATGACAAAACCCGACCAAGGGTCTGGGAAGCAAAACACAGAGAACGTTCAAGTCCAGCATTCACTTGAAGTGGGCTGTCATCAGTTCCAGACTGTCAGCAAT